GAGACCTTGGCCTATAGTCTTGGCTTTCCCCAGTGGCTAATTGCTTTCACTTTCTGCCTCAGCCCTCTCCACTTTCAGATCCTCATTAGCCCCTCACTTGCATTCAAGCATCAGCTTCCATGGTTTGAGAAGTAGGTGTAGCCTTTCCTTGCTAGCCCAGAGTGCTCGGTGCTGCTACATGAATCTTCATCAAGCACCATTTCATTGTGGCATTCCTCTTCTCGAAAAGCATCCTGTGGCTCTCTGTAACCCTGATCCTAGCCCTGTGATACTCCCCTGGGAATTCTTGTCACCTGGTCTTAAACCTGACAAGAATTCCCTGGGGAGTATCACAGGGCTAGGATCAAGGTTACAGAGAGCCACAGGATGCTTTTCGAGAAGAGGAATGCCACAATGAAATGGTGCTTGATGAAGATTCATGTAGCAGCACCGAGCACTCTGGGCTAGCAAGGAAAGGCTACACCTACTTCTCAAACCATGGAAGCTGATGCTTGAATGCAAGTGACAGAACATAAAACACAAACGCAGAACACAAAGAAAAACATGGACACACATACAGACAGTTGACTTGAGTAATAATACACCGGGTCAGTTTTATTTTTATACTAAAAGATTAAAGTTAGTTCCTTGTGCGTAACCACCCAGGCATGGCAAGGATAGCCATAGATTCCAGAATAGCCTTAGGGAAGCAGATATCCCCTGACTCAGAATTTCAAGGTGGTTGCTCTAGGCACTAGGCATAGATAAAGGACCAAGATTAGCAAGGATGGGCAAGGTGAGCCACAGGGGGCATTTCTCATCCCCAGCTTCTCTTAGGGTGACCCCCCAAGATCTTCAGCTGAACCCCGGTGGCTGTGCCTGGCTTAGGTCACCCCTCCCTTTTGGGGTCTTACCTGTCATTGACTAACCAGCCATCTTATGGGGTGTACGCAGCAATCACAGGAACAATGTGTTTATCATGTGGCCTCCAGACCCCCAATGATGTGGGGCGGGGTAGCTCAGCTTGCTTACAACTCAGGTCCTTTGTTATGCCTCTAGGCAACATCCTTGTTTATCACAAGGACCTTGTCTGGAACAGATTACTTTCAAACACTCTGGGCAGAACATGTACATTACTCACTAACTTTAATTCTTAAACTAGGAAAATATATGTCAGTCCCCTACACTGGCCTGCTTATTTTTTAATAAAATCCTCATGCTTTCCCACACGTGCAGCTGATGTGACTTTTACCTGTTTCTGGAATGCCAGTCTCCAACTGCTATTGCTCCATCCTTTAAGGCTCATCTTTAATGTGGTCATCACCACAGAACCTTCATGTGATCCAATCAATAAGATATCGGCTTGCCCTCCTCTGTCTCCCATTCCACTTTGTCTGGACTTTTCTTAGGGCTCCTGGCACTTGGCAATCTGGTATCGTGGCTACTTGGGCACATGTGTCTTATCTCCCAGATAGAGTGAGGCCCTGAGCTCCATGAGAACAACTCTGCATCTTATCTTTATGGACCTCAGTGCCCAGTACAGTTTTTGTTACTTAGTAGATACTTGAGAGAGAGTGGATGCATTGTTTTACTTGTTTGTCATATTAACTTCTCAATTATTTTAGATACTTAAAGGAACAAAGGCACAGAATTTAGTTAGACTAGACCTTTGAGAATCCTTAAATATTTATTGATATTTAGATCGTGATGATTCAGGTTTCCAGAGAGTTAAGCTAATTTTCCTATTCTTGGATCTTCCAGTTCAGCCTGCTGAGCTATCTAATCTTGAATGTGTCATTCATGGAGAATGTGCAGGTAGCCTCATCAGGCTGTGGGTGCCTTTGGTCAGGAGCTGGCTAGTTCTCTTCAGTGTCCTATTTTCCATTTTGTGTAGGGCCAGAGCAGACTGAACTATAGAATTTCCTCTACACAGGGACAGAGAGCAGCAAGGCTTTATGTCACTTTTAATTCTTCTGTTTTTTTTTTTTTAACATTCTTGCTTCCATGTTAGTGTTAGAGTATCAGACTTTTATTTAGTGTCTAGTCTGTGTATTTTAAGTTTAAGTTTGACATTTAGGAATACAGTTCACAGATCCTCATAAATTTCAATATAGTATAATCTAAACATAATAACAGACTGCTTGATAGTATGTTTTTAATAACTGGACTACATTGAGAAGTACATCATAATATGCACCTATTAATATATACGTACAGTGTACTGAGTAGTGTTTTCATTTTTTGGCATTTGGGTTTTAATCATGTAGTGAGGTTTCTCACTCCATGGCAACAGCTAAAAAATTCCTCCTTATAGATACAAACAGACCTGTCAGATGCTTGCTTGAGCATACTTATCCACTATATTTGCAGAGCACAGTTACGTCTTCCAAATACTAAGATATTCTTTGCCATAATAATAATAATAACTTCCATTGTTTTCTAGCTACCATTGACAAGCATTGCACCAGGTACTTTAAATCACTTATCTCTAACACTCCTACTTTGCAGGTAGATGTGGCCAAGAGATAGTAACTTGCCAAAGTTATCCAGCTAATAAACATCAAAACTCAGATTGGACCAATTTTGTCTACCTTAAGAGTTTATGCTCTTTGTACTATGATAACTATACTCTTAGACTTTTTTGCTTTTTTATTTGAAATAATTATGAACTCATAGAATTTATAAAAATAGTACAGAGAGGTCTCGTGTACCTATCACCCAGCTCCCCCAAATAACTGTATTGCTTTATCAAAACTAGGAAGTTGATTGGCACAGTATAGTTAACTAGATTCTGACCATACTTGAATTTTCTCAGTTTTTTTATACACTCTTTGTATGTTTTTATACATAGTTCTGTGGCATCTTATCCCAGGTAACCACCATCAACAATGAAGATATGGAACTGTCCCATCACCACCAAAGAACACACTCGTGCTGCCCCTTTGTAGTCACACCCTCCCCTCCACCCCTAGCAGCCACTTCTTGATGCTCCATGTCTACAGTTTTATCATTAAAGAATGTGTAAAAGGACTCATACAGCATGTGTGACCTTGTAAGATTGGCTTTATTTACTGTGCATAGTGCCCTTAAGATTCTTCCAGGTTGCACATATCAGTAGGTCATTCATTTTTGTTGCTCAGTAGTATTCCATGGTACACATGCCCATGGTCTTACACCTTTTGTTTTTTTTTGTTGTTTTTTTTTTTTTTTTTTTCAAGGTTCCAGCAGTTTTCTATATCTAGGTCTTACACCTTTTGAATTTCTAGATAACCCATGAGCTACATTTATATTTTATGAAGCATTTGAAATAAAACTTTTATTTGTATCCCTCAAAAGGATATTTTTAAAGAACAAAGTTACTTAACACATTAAGGAAAATTTTAGATTAAAAACTGTATAGTTGGCCAGGCACAGTGGCTCACACCTGTAATCCTAGCACTCTGGGAGGCTGAGGCGGGTGGATCGTTTGAGCTCAGGTGTTCAAGACCAGCCTGAGTAAGAGCAAGACTCAGTCTCTACTAAAAATATAGAAAAAATTAGCTGGGCATGGTGGCACATGCCTGTAGTCCCAGCTATTTGGGAGGCTGAGGCAGGAGGATCGCCTGAGCCCAGGAGTTTGAGGTTGCTGTGAGCGAGCCTAACACCATGGCATGCTAGCCCGGGCAACAGAGCGAGACTCTGTCTCAAAAATAATAAAAACTGTATGCCCTTTCATATCTTTGTTCATATGAATATGTATTTTATGTTATTGTGATCATAGTATATTTTGTATGCTGCTTTTTCCCACTTAAACTTATTTTTCCATGTACCATAACTTTAATAGTCAACTTTATGGAACAAGTATGGAGCTAACTATAATTTTCTCCATCCTGATATCCACCTCTGGCTCCACTTAACAGCTTCATGCATATAGCTTTTTTTCCTCCTGTTGAATGATAGCCGTAAGTTCTCAGGAATGAGATTATTGGATCAAAGAGTAGGACCATTTTTATGGTTCTTTTGATGTGTGTTTCCAGGCCTTGGCTTAAATCTGAACCCTGCTTCATATTTACTAAACAAGTTACTGAATCTTTTTAAAGCCTTGGTTGCCACATCAGGAAACAGGGATACTTCCCCTACATTTTGCAGTGGTGGTGAGGATAAAATGAGAGGATGCGTGCCAAGTCCCTATTGCAGTATGTGGCGTAGAGAGGTATTTTGTATGTGGCAGCTGCTTGTGGCAATGATTGTGATATGACTTCACTAACATGATTTCATCATGCCAGCATTCTGTGGACCACACACACCTAGCATTGGATAGCAAATGATGGAGAAGCTGTGTGTTCGGGCCCTCTGCTTTGGTAAACACACCCTTGCCTGAGACAAGCACCATTTCCAGATGCTTGGTTTCTAGTGGGGGAACACAGACATGTAAATCTGTGGTAACAAGGCTGAATGAAGCAAGTGTTGTAATAGCAGTCTGAATCAAGAGCTATGGAACTTCTGAGGATGACGTAATTAATATTGCTTGATCTAATTGGGAAGCAAGGCTTCATTAGAGGTGATGCTTGCTGATCCAGGGGTGAAGCCATGGGGAGAATTTTGGTAGTTGGGAAAGATACTTCATTTTAGGGGAAGGGAACACCTTGAGCAAAGCACATGGCCTGATTAGAGACCAAGTGTTGTTTGAAGAATGGTGAAGGAATTCACTTAGTTGGGGTGCAGAATGTTGTGGGAGAGAAGCCTACAGAAACAGGTAGGAAGGGGACAGCACGGGGGCCCTGGAAATGTGTACTTGGGAGTTTAGTCTTTATTGCACAGACAGCACACAATAGCAAATGTTTAGGGATGCATCTTGATTGCATAATTGACTGTTTCAATGCTTGCTCTTTTATGTGTGATCTGTGTCACATTTTTGTTCATAAAGTGGTAAAAAGGACCAAGGTAAAAACACCTTGAAAGTATATGATTCTTTTAGTATGTTTTTGATGTTTTAATTATACTGATAGAAATATTGACTTTTGTATTTTTCTCCATTGCAGGATTCTGCTCTAATACTTGATGTTCCTCTGGGTGTGATCTCAAGAATTGAAAAAATGGGAGGCGCGACAAGTAGAGGAGAAAATTCCTATGGTCTAGATATTACTTGTAAAGTAAGAGATTCAGTATTTTCTTATATAAAGAACAAGGCACGTTAGTGTTGAATGATACTAGAAAGTTAATGTGGGTTTGAAAAACAATCAAAAACTCTTGTTCATCTAAGGCAGCGGTCCTCAAACTTTTTAAACGGGGCGCCAGTTCACTGTCCCTCAGAACGTTGGGGGGATGGACTATAGTTTAAAAAAACTGTGAACAAATTCCTATGCACACTGTGCGTATCTTATTTTGAAGTAAAAAAACAAGCGGGCAAAAACACCCGAATGTGGCCCACGGGCCGTAGTTTGAGGACACCTGATCTAAGGCTTTGGAAATGATTCTTCCCTCAAAATTGAGCTTTCCAAAAGTTCCTGGGGAAATAGTTCCCACACAAGGGAACCACTGTGGTCACTGTGTATGAGGACTTGAGGAACTGGTCCGTTTGTTAGCTTGACTGAGGGGGGAAGAAAACTTTATAGATAAAATTTCTTAAACCCACTTTAATTTTTGCTACAGTCTGCTCTGGGTACCCCTTCATGTCATGTGTTTCCAGCTAGATACCTTCATACCAGCAAAGGAAGGAGGAATAGAAGAGATTTTGCCCTCTGTGAACAGGATGTGTCCTTACCTATAACAACCATTATAACTTTTGCCTAGGTAGTTTTCAGAGGTAGTGGCCTAACATTTTGTTGTAGTAGTAACTGTGCACTGAGCATCTATGTCCATCCAAACACTTGTTAGGTGCTTTGCGTTCAGTACCCAGCACAGCCCTCTGAGCTGGGCATCTGGGAGATGGGGAGCCTAAGGCTCAGAAGAGTTAGGTAACTTTGCTAAGACACCTCCAAAGGCTAGTTCCTGGGAGGCTGAGATGCTTTCAAGTGTCTCAGGTGACTGAACCATCTGTGTAGTGCAGGGGTTAGCAAACTTTTTCTTTCAAGGGCCAGATGGTAAATATTTTAGGCTTTCTGGGCCACATAGGATTTCTGTCACATATTCTTTTTTGTGTTTTGTTTTTCCAACCCCTTTCACATGTGAAAAACATTCTTAGTTTGAGCACCATACAAAAACTGACCTGGACTAAAGTTTGTTGGCCTCTGGTCAATCTAAGTCCTTCACTCTATGGTTAGAGAAATGAGGCCTTTGCTGAGTGAGATTACTCACACAGGGTTGCCCAAGGAGCCAGTGGAAGAGCCAAAACTAAAGACTAAAGTCTCCTTTTCCTAGTCTCATCCATTATAATTTCTAAAAAACCAACCTTATATACTTATGTTTGGGTTATGATATATTACGGTGTTTCTCTCTGCAGCTTATAAAAGATCAATATTAGTACACTTTCAGAAACCAAAGGATTATGTCATCATTAAACTTTAACTGGAATTCTGTACTACTCCCACCTCACCGTTTTTTGTTTTACTTTGAGCTACCTTAATGCCTTATCTATTATCCCAGGTACTAAGTAGAGTATTATATATTACAGTACTCAAGGGAAAATGGGGTTGCTATTTTGATTACTTTGAAGGGAATTTTATTCTAATAGGGTTTTAAAAATCCTATTTGCCACCTTATCAATAGGAAAAACCTGTATTTAAATATCAATCCCCCAAATTAATAAGACAAAACACATTCTCACCCTTTGACTGTTGTAAGAACAAAAGGCTTAGGAACAACTCACCAAGCATAATTTTCAAATTTTACATATGTATATTTGTTAGAATTAGCATGAGGCAAAAGGTGGTGGCCCCTAGAACAACATTGTAGCACAATCTTTTAACCAAATTATCTTCTTAGAAACACTGATGTCATAGAGTCATATTCCATTTTCTCAGTAACAGACCTGTCATTGATGTAAAGGGAATCTGCTGTGGTAGGATAAAGACTCGCTATCCTGTCTCGCACAGGTTACATTTAACCTGCAATCAATAACCATAATACAACTGTATTTCTCTCCCCAAAAAAGTAGTTACAACCCCTACAAATTTGGCTATATAAGCTGTGCACATGGGGATTTCTGCTTGCCAGTGGCAACTTCCAAACTGTGGGTATAAATCTCAGAGGTCTTGTCCAGCAACAAGGGAGAAGGTAGCACTGGATATGTGAATTGTTACCCTGCAGCCCTCATACCAGCCCTTGCTGACCCTTAGTGTCTTTCAGTAAAACAAAAAAGCTACAGAACTATACTGCCACAGAGTCTGTCTCTCTTTTTCCTCCTCACTTTCATCTACTTGGTTTAAAGACAGTGGTTTTTTGAGATCAGCAATGATGTGAGTTGTTTGTTTAGAAATGCCTACTGGGAATGATGCCATGCTAAACCAGCCCTTCAGAGTCATTGTTATGGGGATATATTTACTTTGACTCTTACTGTAGCAGGGCTTGGAGCAGCACCATATGACCCAGTTGTTAAATGAGCCAAGGGTCTGGCTGGAAGACTCCTATGCCACAAGGATCTTTCCCAGGTACCCTTCCCTGACCAGTCAAACTCTGAGGAAACCAGGAGGAACTTACCAGTTAGTGTATGCTCTTATCTCTGTTACAGATTTGGTAATCTGCCACCTGTGAGTCATTTGCCTTTTCTGCTTCAATTTTCTTGTTGGCAAGAAATAATTGTTTTTAATTGTATCTTAATCAGATGGCAAAAAGAAGTTACTTGAATCAATTATGCCTTGGCATGTTAAAAGTAATTATTTGAATCACCAATAGATCAGAATAAATATTTATTTAGAGATGGTTAAATTTCTGGCCAAGAAGTTAAGAGAATGATGCTTACAGAGTTTTCATCTGACCTGTGGCTGTTAGCAAAAAGGTTCTTCCCAGGTCATTGAGCCCTGAGGGTCCTCAGTTATCCAGTATTGTACCTGTGGCTGGTTGTAAACCCAAATATCATCCATTTGAAAGGATCTTCCCTTAATTTGACTGTTGGTTTTTCATCATGAACCAACAAGTACTATCAACAATACTCTTGGGATGTGATGTGAATTCGTTGTTGGACTTTATTCAGTTACACGCTTTTTAAAAACAACAACAAAAATGAAAGCACAGAATCCAGGAGCTGGCAAGGCCTAATAGATGCCATCTGTATACAGAGTGATCAATCTCAGGTCAGTCATTAGCAGTCTTAGAGTTTAGTTCCTCAAACTTTCTTTGCTGCCATTTGCACTTTGGGATATCTTGTACATAGCACAGCCTTTGCTGGTCCCTCAGACCAAAGACTTAGGAAGCTTTAAGAATACTCTTGAGATAAGAAATGAAAAAGCAGTTTGAAAAATATGAAGATTATGATTTCCAAGAGTGCAGGTACTGGGTCTGTGTCACTACCAAGGTGTCCGGCATAGTGCTCATTTCCTGAAATGAGAATGGAAGGTACAGTGCAGGGTACAAAGTTTTCAATGTGTAGCCATCACTCACTCACAGCATCTTGCCTTTTTTTCCCCAAGAGACAACCTTAAAAATTCATCATGAAAATAAGATAGAATGTTATATTTTTGTTTATATATATATAAATATAATATATATAATACAAGTTGACTTTTAAAGGAGCTTAATTGGTTTGAATTTGGTTTAAAAGATAGTTTTCCTGCTTATGACAGAGACATGTATTAAAAAATACCTTTAAAATCTGGTTTTGACAATTACATTTTAGTTCCTGAAAGTATAGTTACTACTAATGTGGGGCACCTTAATGTGACTTACATAGAACTCTGTGAAAGTAAAATTGTATAGTAAAAATATATTACTTACATTACTTGCATGAGAGCTTAAAATGCCAGTCATTTGGACAGAAAGCTGCTGTATTTTAGTGACATGTTTGATAATGTTGAGATTATATTTGATCGCAGATATTCCTTTGAAAAGTTGGGTGAATAAAATATTGTTTTATAATTAAATACCTCAGAAACCAGTGAAAGTAGATAGACATAGCAGATGATGTGCAGCATAAGGCTTGATTTTTTTTTTCTTTTTATAAAGTGAATTTTAGTTCTGTCTTCTCTTTAGCACTAGTTGCTTTATCTTTGTACTGATGGCTATGATGGGAATATTTGCAGGTGTTCTTAAACTGGATATTTCAAATTATCATATAAAACAAAGCAGTTTTCTTAGTAATCTAGATTCATTGCCCTTTTAAGTAAGTGACTCTTCTTTCTTAATGAACAGAAGATTTCTTGCTAATTAACATGACTTTATTTGAAGACTGAACTGTCAAATTTCTCCTTTGCCCCTTAGGACATGAGAAACCTGAGGTTTGCATTGAAACAGGAAGGCCACAGCAGAAGAGATATGTTTGAGATCCTCACGAGATACTCCTTTCCTCTGGCCCACAGTTTGGTAAATTCCAGCGCTTTCCTGGGTGTCAGAAAGTTCTTAAGTGCCTTCTTTGTGAAAATTGCCTACGGGCTGGAATCCTCTTTCTTTCACTCTGTGTTGTGTTTCCCAGTGTAATATGCACTCAGGAGTATTTATCAACTATGATGTAATCGTTTCCAGAAGGAATAGGTCTCTTTCCTGCCAGTCTGCAGGATGTATTGCCCCAGGTGGCAGAAACACTATGCCTGGTGCCCTGGAGGCTGCCCTGGAGCCCTGCATGAGTGAGCCTGGGAGCTTCACCTGGGGCAACTTGTGCTCTTCCACCCGGAAGCATGCCCTTAGTCTCGGCCAGCCCTCTTTACAATGTAGAAGGTAGTGAGGCCAGCTGCCTGCAATGACGCTGTGAGGTCACATCCCAGGGTCTGTTGCTCTCAACTTTGGAGCTAATGACAGATATATGTGAGGCTTTTGTGGCTCCAGTTATGAATAAAGACGAACCCTCTGAGCCTAAATGCCATTTGAGCAAATACAGGATGTGTTGTGTAGGTACTACAGCCAGTAGCTAAGTAGAGGCAGATTTATTTTTTAAAAGAATGACCTTTCAAATATTATTTGATAGTGTTTATATATATTTGGCAGGGCTAATTTATTAATATTATTCATTTAATGAGTTACAATCTATGACTTAGTCCATGAGGTGAGTCAGCATTATATGTACCTAAAACTTTTCCTTTCTCTTCACCAAACTATTGGAATGTCCTTAGCCGTGTGACTGAAAATAAGCCTTTTCTTGAGTCTTGCCCTTGATAGTCTTTCTTTATATCCTCCCTTCATCTTATTCTTTTCTTTTCTGTCATTCTTTGCTCACATCTTCTTACCCCTCTCCTCTTCTGGTTGACTCTAAACAAACTTGGAGGTGTCTACTAAGGAGAGTGAGGAAATAATTCTTTTTAAAAATATTGTATAAATGCCTTTATTTTAAGTGTAGGATAATTATACTGCAGACTAAACTGAAAGCGATGAAAGGGATCCTTAAGTAGAAGAGTCATGTGTTGATCACAGATGAAAGTGTAACACTTGGAAACAAATGCACTGATATTGTTGAATCATTTTCAGCCTTTTCTAAGTTTCTGATTAAATATGTAATTTTAAAAAATCTATTTTAAATGTTTTTAACTATATTACAATAAAAAGAGTTTTATGGGAACATATCTTCTAAATTATGAAAGTGAGAATGTGAATCTAATTTGTGAAAGTTCAGTTAGGAAATGTGTTCTGTCTTGGTTTATGCATATCTGCCCCTAAATTAAGCAGAAATTTGCAGAGTGGCAGGTTTGAAGGAGCTGAAGCCCTAATCCATCTCCTGCAAGATCTTGCTCTATTAGCCATCCCCTTTCTCTGGTATCTTCCTTCTCTTCTAGGAAAAGCCAAACGTTGCACCAACTTTCTCCTTAAACTACTATCCCATCTCTTACTTTGTTGCCAATGTCTGGAAGGAATATTCTAGCCTATCCTCATCTCCAGACCATTCATTCCTCTGGCCCATTCCAGTATGGAGCTCATGACCTCTTACTGGCCAAATCTAGTGGCTCATTTTCATCTTTATTCTGTTTGCTCTCTCCCTAGCATTCAACATTTTGACCACCTTCTACTCGAAAGTCTTGATTCCTGTGTTCCTGTACCATTTTGACTGTTCCTCTCAGTCTCTACTGCCGCTGTCTTTTCCTTAAATGTAAACATTTTCAGCTGTATTCTCTTCTCACCTTACTCACTTTGCCTTGGTAATTTCATTTATTCCCATGACCTAAGTTGTCACTGCTGTGTACATGACTTGTAAATCTAGCCCTGATATTATCCTTTAGTGAGTATGAGTCTAACCCTCAAACACCTTCCTCTGGAAGTCTGTGAGAATCACAAACTCATCATCACCCTAATGAGTTCTTTGCAGTTCACAAAACTTACTCTTTTTCCTATACGTCCTGCAAGTTTGAGGAGCCTCAGTCGTTCAGGTTCGATAACTTGAAGGCAACTTTTTATTCTCCCCCTGCCTTGCGTCCCATAGGCACATCAGTTCTGAATCTTTTGGTCTGCTTACTAGTAACACTCAGCTATTTCTTCCCATTTCTACTTGTGCTTCCTACTTTGAGCCATGCTTCCAAACTGGCTTCCCTTCTTTCAGTTTCCTCCCCTTCCTACTCCTCCTACACAATGTTGCCAGTTGTTTTTTGTTTGTTTTGTTTTTAATTTAAGTAGGATCATGTCACCATGTCATCCCTGCACCCCTGCGAAAATTAAAAAAAAAAAAAAAAAAAACCCAGTGACTCTTCATGGCTATGCTGTGTACATGGCAGCCACACAGGACAGCCCCGTGGTCCTCTGGCGCATGTCGTGCTGTCTCTGTTCAGTTTGCTGTCCCCTTTGCCTGCACTTCCACCCTGTCTCTTTAACACCCATCCTCCACACCCTCAGCCTTCAATGTCTTGATCCATCCTAGGTCCTTTGCCTTGCCTCATGTGTGCCCCCAATGAGAGTTCATCCTACCTCTCACTAGTCAGACTTTGTGTGTCCCTCTATTAGAGCACTTATCTCAGTCTGCCTCATGTAATTATGTCATAATTGCCTGCCACACCCCTTCCCAGCCTGATACATTATGAGCTTATCAAGGCAGGGATCAGCCTTTATTTCTTCTCTAGCCCCAGCATGATGAGTTATGCATGGGAGTTTTATAATGATGCTTTTTTATTGAACTCAGGTTTAGTAGAAAGTGAAGGAAAAAAAATGTTTCCACTGTATGGAAACAAACAGATGGATATTTCTGAATAATGTGAATCTAGCACCAGTACCAAGAATTCCTTATTGCTGTCACTGGAGTCATCCACAGAGAGCTCGACTTCTCAAATCTGTGGTACTTGGCTATATGTTTCCTATCTGCTGGGAATCCGTAATTCTTCCTTCGGGACGTCAATAAAGTAACAAAGTAGAGAAAAAACGTGAACTGAATTGTTCATACGAAGTTTTGGAAAATGGCATTCTCTTAAGTTTTAACCACTAAAAGTCATCCTTAAAAAAAATTTCAGTCAGTCACCAAAACAATACAAGATAGAGATCAAAACACTGCTTTTGGAAGATCAGTCCCTGATATTCAAGCCAACTTGTGCAACTGCTTCATCAGTCAAGTTCATTTCAGAGTCCATGTAGAAGAAAAGGCTTGCGGCTTGAGTGATGAGAAGGGTGGGCACTATTGACAGAGTAGAGAAGTCAGAAAAGGATTTCATTTGCGGAAACAGGTAGAAGAAAGGGGAAGGAGGAGGAGGTCTGCAGGCCTGCCCCTCAGAAAAGAGTCTAGAGATGTAGATTTGGAATAATGGTTCTTAAGCTGTTTAGAGTTATGAACTCCTTTGATAATGTAGTGTGAATTATAGTTTCTCTTCCCTTGAAAAATGCACTTATGTATAGAACCTTACATAAAATTTTAGAGACTCCTGGCCCCTCTGAAGCTCCTCTGTGGGTCCCCAGCTAAGTAACAGTGGTATGTAATAGAGGAATTCAAAACCAAAATCTTGGAAGAGACAAGCTTTTCCAGCTTGTAGGGAGTAAAGATGGGAAAGGAGCCAGCAAAGTGAATGGTTAGAGGGATGAAGGAAGAACCTGGAGTGTGTGGTTTGTGGAGAGAGGGGTTTAACAGGGTGGTCCTGGGTGTCACATGCTGGGTGGGGCCGGGGAGAAGGATCAAGAGCTCTATGTGAACGCAACTCCCTAACTGTGACCTGCTTGCGGCTGGGACTTCCATTTATTATCTTTGTATCCCCAGTGCCTAATCCAGTCCTAGCATGCATTTATTGAACTTTGATGAATCCAGGAAAAGGATGTCAGGGCGGAGGGATAGAAGCCCGATTACAGGGATTTAAAAGGAGAGTAGTAGATGGTTTTTTAAAAAGAAATAGGAGTAGCAAGCATGTTAAGGGAAGATTTTTTTTTCCTTAAAATTCAAGAAAGGTTAATGAATATATTTGTGGACGGGGGAAAGAAGTCTTTCCTCTTTTTAAAACAAGAGAGAAGGGATCTATTCTAGAGCAGGATCCTAGAGAAGGCAGTGGGGATGGGCTCAAGCCTAGTTTGTGGGGGCAATTTTGGAAAGGAGAAGGGACCATTATTCCTCTGAGACAGAGGGGGAAGAAAAGTTTCCAAACTGCCACAGTGGGGAATGTGGGAGTGTGCCAAAAAGGGATTTCCTGGGTGTGTACCCTAAGCCTGACTGCATTGAACAATACAAAGGCCCCCTGCTTGAAAAGATCACTTTGTTAATATTATTGGGACTGTTCAGCCAGCTGCAGATTATCTCAGTAATTTTTATTGGCATTTGAAATCAGAAGTGAACTTGCTGTTGCATCTATGAAATGGTGTCTGTAGGCCAAGTGAGCTGGGTCCCAAATCTGGCCAGGGCATGAATAGACCATGAGTGGGCTTTTTTTTTTTTATTTCAGACCACCCCTTTGACTCTCTCTGGCCTCCTTTCCCATTAGTGTTTTCACCACTCTGTGTTCAAGTCAGGACTTACACTTAAAATTGAACTTGAGCTGTTTAGCAATAGAATTCACCTCAAACCATTAACCTGATTTTTTTCTGTATTATGGCAATCTGGTAAGACATGCACGTTTCTTTACATAATATTTTCTATTTGGGCCAAAGCATTTATTTTCTTGTTTTATCTTTGCTTTTCAAATGTTAGAAATTGTACTGAATTCTCATAAATCGCATGCAACTTGATACTAGTTCTACATAAATGCTACATTTTTATAAGAAAGGCTCCAATGCAGAGTTTACAAAAAGTGTTTTGTATACATTTTGTACAATAAGGAAAGGCATTCTCTGTAGAGTATTTTAATACAGTAATAAAACGTAGTAAAAGTAGCCCTACTTTCAATTGTCACCATACTTTTATTTAAATAATATGGTAATATAATATTTCAAAATACTCTCCTCTAAAAATATTTTTGTTCTAAATTCTAATCAGTATCTGA